GTGACAAGCTGGTGTCAGGAGCTCTTCCCATATTATCTTGAAAAGGTGATAAGCCCAAAATGTCCTTGGCTTGAACCATGACGCCCTGCAACAAGAGGAGACCTAATTTAGAAGGGAAATCCTAAAGAAACTTTTTTTTTTATACCTTCTATTCTTTTACTGATTGATTAATCCAATACTACTGCAAACATAGTTTGGTTTTCCTTTTCATTTATAAATAAATGGTAGGTAATACTCATGCCATGGCCTTGATAATATAGAAGATAAAACACGTAACTGAAAACTTAGTTTGCTAATCGTGACTAATTTCTGAAAAGGAAACTAAAAGAACGAAACACCAACACACTTTTCAACAGTCAACCTCTACCTAAAGTCTGCCTTCACAGCACACTGGAAGATTTCCAGAGTCACATTTCCAATCTTCCAATACTTGAAAGTGCATGAGAGGAATCCTGAGAACTTTGTGCTGTATCAGAGTGCATTTTGGCAATGTGTCGCTTTAATGGAGTCATCTGTGTGAAGCGGGCCTGACAGTACAAGCATGAGTATGGTTTTTCGCCAGTGTGCAGCCGCTGATGCTGTGTCAGATGCTGCTTCGTCTTGAACCGACTGTCACAGAAATTGCAAGAAAACGGCCGCATGAATGCTTCAGAGGAGTGGGTGGCTGGCTGGGGGTTGAGGACTGAGGAGTGTTGGAGGGGGTTGTGCGCACGAACAGTTTGCCCTCCTAAGCAGATATTGTGGGTCTCTACAGGGTGACGCCCCACCAACCCTGGCCACCCCACATGCCCCTGGAAGGGAGAAACATGCTGGCTTAGTCTGGTGCAGATCCAGGTTACTTGGCCATTTTTCTCACCCTTAATAATACAGTTTTCAAGGTTTGCACTTCTCAAGTCATGATAAAAGATACTTTTTCAAATAGCATAACCAAAGGGGTTTGCGATTCTTTTTATATAAAAATGTTAGGAAATTAATAACGTCAAAGTAAATAATTTTGAAAAAATAAGATAAACAATTAAAATAATAATAATAATTATAAAAAAATAATAATAATAAGTGATAATAAAGTATACAATGATGATGATGATAATCATGATCATTATGATCATCATCATCATGAGGATCATGTTGATAATGATGAGCATTATCATCATAATGACCAAGATGATCATGATAATAATAATAATGATAATAATAATAATTATAATAATAATAATAACTGATGCTTGAAAATGAATGAGAATAACTGATAATGATAATGATAATAATGAATAATGAATAAGAAACAATCATAGTAATAATAATAACAGCAATAATAAAAACTTTCTTACAAATCTAAATCAACAGTTAACATTTACTTTAATCGTAATTAGAATTTTGTGTAGAGAAGTCTTAAAAGTGTGGTGTTATCTTATTTAGTAAACACTATAAACCTCAAAACTAAGTTATATAAAAAAAAAAGCTAAGATCTTAGTGAATATAAATTTCAAATGGAGTGTACGTAGATATTCAGCACCTATAATTAGTATCACTTATAAATATTATTCATTTACTATCATAATTACTTCGTACATAATACTGTTTGCCTTCTTTTGATGCCTTCAATTCAGTTTCTTTTGGATATTGTGACAAATTCCTTTTTTTTTTCTTTATTCTTTTTATTTGTTTTAAGGTTTGGGTTACTTGGCAGCTTGTGTGTGTCTAATTCATCGAACATTCAAAGATCGTGATAATCTAGTGCTTATCATAAACTCGTAGAATGTTCATATTCTAAACCTAAATTGTTGCACTTTAGCATATTATGCTTGAAAAGGCTTTGCATATAAAATATAGACAAGAAAGAAGTGTAATTCAGTTGGCAATCTACATACAAATTAATCTGAATGGGATTAAATCCTTCCTCTTGATTGGATAAAAGCTGACTACTGCGGTCAGTAGTAGTAGTAGTAGTAGTATAGTAGTGGTATAGTCATAGTAGTATAGTAGTGGTATAGTCATAGTAGTATAGTAGTGGTATAGTCATAGTAGTATAGTAGTGGTATAGTCATAGTAGTATAGTAGTAGTAGCAGTCGTATAGTAGTAGTAGTAGTAGTAGTAGTAGTAGTAGTAGTAGTAGTAGTTTACTAGTATTGTAGTATAGCAGTAGTAGTAGTTTAGTTTTATTGTAGTATAGCAGTAGTAGCAGTTTAGTAGTATAGCAGTCATAGTAGTATAGAAGTAGTAGTAAAGTAGCAGTAATAGTAGTAAAGTAGTAGTAGTAGTAGTAGTAGTAGTAGTAGTAGTAGTAGTAGTAGTAGTAGTAGTAGTAAAGTAGTAGTAGTAGTAAAGTAGTAGTAGTAGTAGTAGTAATAGTAAAGTAACAGTAGTAGTAGTAAAGTAGCAGTAGTAGTAGTAAAGTAGCAGTAGTAGTAGTAAAGTAGCAGTAGTAGTAAAGTAGCAGTAGTAGTAAAGTAGCAGTAGTAGTAAAGTAGCAGTAGTAGTAGTAGTAGTAGTACAAAGTAGCCAGTAGTAGTAAAGTAAGTAGCAGTAGTAGTAGTAAGTAGTAGTAGTAAAGTAGTAGTAGTAGTAAAGTAATAGTAGTAGTAGTAGTAAAGTTGTAGTAGTAGTAGTAGTAGCAGCAGCAGCAGCAGCAGCAGCAGCAGCAGCAGTAGTAGTAGTAGTAGTAGTATAGTATAGTAGTAGTAGTTTAGTATCGTAGTAAAGTAGTAGTAGTAGTAGTAGTAGTAGTAGTAAAGTAGTAGTAGTAGTAGTAGTAGTAGTAGTAGAGTAGTAGTAAAGTAAAGTAGTAGTAAGTAGTAGTAGTAGTAGAGTAGTAGTAGTAGTAGTAAAGTAGTAGTAGTAGTACTAGTAAGTAGTAGTAGTAGTAGTAGTACTAGTAAAAGTAGTAGTAGTAGTATAGTGTAGTAGTAGTAGTAAAGTAGTAGTAGTAGTAGTAGTAGTAGTAGTAAAGTAGTAGTAGTAGTAGTAAAGTAGTAGTAGTAGTAGTAGTAGTAGTAGTAGTAGTAGTAGTAGTAGTAGTAGTAAAGTATTAGTAGTAGTAAAGTATTAGTAGTAGTAGTAGTAAAGTATTAGTAGTAGTAAAGTATTAGTAGTAGTAGTATTAAAGTATTAGTAGTAAAGTAGTAAGTATTCGTAGTAGTAGTAAAGTAGTAGTAAGTAGTAGTAGTAATAAAGTAGTAGTAAAGTATAGTAGAGTAGTAGTAAAGTAGTAGTAGTAAGTAGTAGTAGTAGTAGTAGTAGTAGTAGTATAGTAGTAGTAGTAGTAGTAGTAGTAGTAGTAGTAGTAGTAGTAGTAGTAGTAGTAGTAAAGTAGTAGTAGTAGTAGTAGTAGTAGTAGTAGTAAAGTAGTAGTAGTAGTAAAGAAGCAAAGGAGTAGTAAAGTAGTAGTAGTAGTAATAGTAAAGTAGTAGTAAAATAGTAGTAATAGTAGTAGTAAAGTAGTAGTAGTAGTAGTAGTAATAGTAGTAGTAGTAATAGTAGTAGTAATGGTAATAGTAGTAGTAATGGTAATAGTAGTAGTAATGGTAATAGTAGTAGTAATGGTAATAGTAGTAGTGATAGTAATGGTAATAGTAGTAGTGATAGTAATAGTAGTAGTAGTAGTGATAGTAATAGTAGTAGTAGTAGTGATAGTAATAGTAGTAGTAGTGATAGTAACAGTAGTAGTAGTAGTGATAGTAGTAGTAGTAGTAGTAGTAGTAGTAGTGATAGTAATAGTAGTAGTAGTAGTTATAGTAATAGTAGTAGCAGTAGTGATAGTAATAGTAGTAGTGGTGATAGTAATGGTAGTAGTAGTAGTGATAGTAATAGTAGTAGTAGTGATAGTAATAGTAGTAGTAGTGATAGTAATAGTAGTAGTAATAGTAGTAATAGTAGAAGCAGTAATAGCAGTAGTAGTAGTAGTAATAATAGAAGCAGCAATAGTAGTAGTAATAGCAGCAGCAGCAGCAGTAGTAGTAGTAGTAGTAGTAGTAGTGGTATTTCTTAAGGTTACTCTAATCAGATCCAAATGTATAAAATACTTCTGATTGTTAAATGTCAAAACTCAAAATATATATATATATAAAAAATCAGGGTGCTGTGGATGGTAAGGGTTTCCTTTTTTTTTTAATCCGAGTATTACGAATGACAGGTAATGAGGAAAAAAAACAAAGGATAGGTAGAGCAGGAGGAGAAAGATATAGGACCATGCAAGTTAAGCTCAAATTATCAGTGAAGGCTCTGTGGCATCATTAATGATGTGGTTTTACATCGTGTGCAAATAATTACCTAATCTGTACCATATTTAATACTCATGCTCTCAACATCAATAATCTTACAAAGATTAGCTTTCAATACCTACCATAGACCTCCCCTTCCTTTTCCATCACCAAAATTCAGTCTGATGACTAGCCATGACAGTTTGAATCCTCAATGAAACTTTCTTCTTTTCTTCAGGAAATACATTTTTTTTCTAATGTTTAGAATAAAACGTGACCTTTACTTTCCTCTCCGTGTATTGGTAAATTTCTTGGGATTAACTTCTTTCTTCAGTAAATTAATTTTTTTTTTTTTTTTAATGATATTAGAACTACAACAACTTACAAGCCTTATGAATCTGATATGCTTCCCTGTAATATTTATGCATTCTCTAATCCACTTGCTTATATTAGGAATTAAGAAATTTGACCTTGTTTCAGCACACAATCTAACTTCTTTGCTTTCAATTCTTATAGCACTGTAATAAATTCTTTATTATATATTATACCTATCTTTATTGATTATTTTTGGAACATTATGGCTTATCAAATGTTAAGTAGTATGAAGAACCTTCAATTCTTTAGATTCTTTTATTCTAACTCCTGCAAGTCATTTTCTAAGTTCTTAAGCTATTACAAACCACTTGTTAAAACTTCAACTGTGTGGTATATAAAAAAAGATTATCATCATTCTAGGTCACACCTTAATTTGACATTCTATTTCAAAATCTAAAAAGGGATTATATACTAAGAAAATGTGAGGAATACCAACTCTGCCCTTTATTATCAGGACGCTACAGAGTAAACAATACTTGAGCAGAACAAGTTATTACAGTGTCATCTTATCTATTGGGCTAGGCTTGGTCTACTATGGAATACAAATGATTGCTGCTATTTATTCCTATTCAAAATCCTTTTGAATGGTAATGTATATTCATCCAACCCCAACAATTCAACATTGATAAGACTAGTTAAAAAAATAAATACATAAGTACCAAGCACACTTTATGTAAAAGCACAATATTCATCATTATTCTACTACATGGCATAATTTATATACAGTACATTTAACCAAATAATAAAAGTATAAGATATCTGGCAGCTTGTCTTAAATTATGACAATATAGTTGCTATCTGGCAGCTTGTTTTAGATTACAGAAGTAAAATTCATTATCTGTCATCTTACATTAAATCATACAAAGTCTCACTACCTGCCTGGCCTCTAAACAAAAATAAATTATCTAATAATATAATTCAACATATCCTATGGTAGGCCTGCCATATATTATTAGCAAATTCTATGATTTCTTTAAGATATCACAAATTTTAGTTTTAACAACATGTCTCAAGTTATTAATTCTGTCTAATATTTGTTGAGCTAATATTGAGATTGTTGATCTCCAACGCCTCTACCAAGGTGTGATGGAGGTGCAGGAGGGGGAGGAGCTGGTGGATATGGCCTTGGTATAGTTGGGTCAGTGGCAGCATGCTTGCGTCGTACATGACTCATCAGCTGATGCTTCTGTACAAAGGCACGGCCACAAAGCCGACAAGCATAAGGGCGCTCTCCTGTGTGGATCCTTTCATGTTCGATGCGGTGGTCTTTGCGCTTAAAACGGCGCCCACAATATACACACTGATGTGGCCTAAGCGTCTCCTCATCCAAACCGGCCATGTGGTAGTTGAGGGCAGCCATCAGCCCCTGGAACAGAGCAGAGGAGAGCTGCTTAGCAAGATCACCACCAGGCCGCTCTACCCACTCCCACCCAAAATACTCAATTCTGGTTACTGTTAAGTGTGACAATACATCACCGGAATGTTTTTTTTTGTTTTTTTTTTTTTTTTTTGTTTTTTTTTTTTGCCTTTGGTCCAGGCATTTGGAGAATACTCTCTTGGAGGTGCACCAAATACCTTTAGATTACTTTCAGCAGTGCTACATCTGATAGTGAGAGGACAGATGATTACGCCAGCCCTCTCTAGTGTCTAAGACAAGTCCGCAGATGGCACAAGTATTACTTTCATCATGGTGTATCTTTTCATGGATCTTAAGGGAGTCTTTCCGTTTAAACCTCTTCCCACAAACAATGCAAGCATGAGCACGCACTTCCGAATGTTTGGTCAGATGATTTCGGAGGTGTGTCTTTTGAGCGAAGCGATGACCACACACTTCACACACAAATGGCTTGTCGCCAGTGTGCACCTTCTCGTGTATTAATAGGTGATCCTTGCGCTTGAAGGCCTTCCTGCAGTAGGTGCACACAAAGGGCCGGCTGCTGTCACCACTGGCTGGATCCCTGAGCCAATCCAAGTGGCAGGCTTGCCACGAACCCTGCAACAAACGAGAGGAGACCTGCCTTAGCCAGCATCTCTACAGTGGCTACAGCAGCTATACACGGTGGCACGACACCCACCCCAAATTCCTACTAGGCTTCCATGGAACCAAGTAACACAGAATAAAAAATGACACCAATAAATTCATTTTCTTATCACTTACATAACATGGCGGGAAACCCACATTTCCTATAATGAAAATATCGATGCCATTTAATAAATTGGGTTACTACGATCATTCGCATGCTCCTGGCTACGCTCAAGGTGGTACATCAAGTTGGCCTTCGTGATGAACCCCCGACCGCAAAGAGGACACACAAAGGGCTTCTCCCCAGTATGGAGCTTTTCATGACGAAGTGCGTTAGCTCTCCGCTGAAACGTCTTGTCACAGAACGAGCACTTGAAGATTTTGGGCTCTTCAGTGCCTCTTAAAGGTGGAGCGAACAAATACATGCCATAGTCCTGCAACAAATGAAAGATTGGTTTCACCAAGCCGCTCACATTTTCTAGTCCCATCGACCCCTTTAGTTCTTTCCACTATGAACTCTTAGAAAATCCACCCATTTCAAGTAGCAACTTGTCAGAGACACTTGCACTATAGCATCTTCATAACCATGTATTACCAATTCAACTACAAAGCAAAATTTAAAAGTTAAAATCATAATCAGTATCTCTGATGAGCAAAAAAATAATAAATAAAAAGAAAAAAATAAAGAAGAAAAATAAAATAAAAGGAAAGATTACAAGAAACAAAAGGGGAAAACTTTTGGCAATTACTGTAGCCTCCAATTCAATTTCCAACTCCTGGAAATCATAAAATCTTAAACCACAACTTCTGGGTATCTTCTGCATTATATTCTTGCATGAACAACACTATCACAATTTACTGCGTAGAGGAACTTCACTCTTGCATCACTCTCCTTTTAAATTCACTCAGGAGGTACAGAAGCATTAGTCAAGTCTGTGTTACTGGCAGAAGCATGTACATTGCTACGCTTGAGGTGGTACTGTAGATGATAACGTGTGTTGAATCGTCGTGGGCACAGATGACATTGGAAAGGCAACATTCCTGAATGCAGGCGCAGGTGTCTCCTGTAATTGTCTCTCCTCTGGATGACCTGACCACACACTTGGCATAAGAAGCCTACCTGCTGGGGGTCACTGATGGAGGGGCGGGGACCACTCCAAGCTGGCTGGTCTTGGCAAGGTGAAGGTGGGACTAGACAAAAAGCCTTGTCCACTATAACCTTCATTACTTCCTCACCATAATCATCACCCCCACCACCACCAACACAACCCCCCTGCAACAAAATAAAAGCTTGGCATCACTATCAATTCCTGTAGCCAGCTACTGTAGGTGTTCATGCACCAATCACTATTCTGCCCGCAAACCACCATACAAATAGGAATTCACTCAGTTACATGTCACAATTCCTAAGTTTTGTTTGGTGCTCCAGGCTACGAGTAATATGATAATCATAATGGGACTTGTTGACAAATTTCTTGTTGCAGATAACACAGGAATACGGTAGATCACCCGTGTGTTGGCGTTCGTGTTGACTGGCATGACCCCGGCGAGTGAAGAGCTTACCACAAAACCTGCAAGGGTGCTTGCGTTTCAGCTCAATCAATGCTGCTTGCCCCTGATACACTCACTATCCGCAACTGCAAAAAGACCACAACAAAACCTCTATGCCTCATTGCTCTCAGATTCGTTAATGCCATGCAGTAATTTCCTTTTCAACACCATGTCAATAAGTAATCAGACTCCAAATTTCAAATATCCATATCCAGTACTGAGAATAAAGGAAAGAGGTAATGAAATTAAATAAACACATACATACTGAGCCTTTACAGATTATAAAATTTTTAATATTTGTAAAAATAAGCTTTGAACAATAACCATATACATATGGAATGATAGAATAGAAAATTTGTTTCTATTCTGCTTATGCTTAAAAATGTATCCTCTACTCCCGAGGAAATTTATGCAAAAGATTTCATTCTTCAAAGAGTGATAACCACAATTAACTTTTACTGGAAAAGGTTCTTTCCTTTGGGTTTATCACAGCAATCAAGATCAACTTGATCATAAAAATCAATATTGTAGGTCTGACCTATCAATTCTAAACAAGTTTTGACGTTTAAACCTGTGTTAAAAAAAACTAAATTACTAAATTTTGTATCCAATTTGTAAACTACTTTATTATTTCATATCCAAAATGCAAATTACTTTATAATTTCCTATCAAAATCAATTTGCAGTTTTGTTTAAATCTCTGTTGCAACTTCAGGTTCCAAAAGTTCTTTAAGGAAGCCATCTATATCAAAAGAAAAGAAAGAAATCTCACAATTAAGACCACAAACAGCATTATGTCCATATATTTTTTAGAAGATAAAAAATAATCAACATATAAATAATATCATCATTACAAAAATCGAATGTGAAGATAAAACATGAATAAGCATTGTCATAAATATCAACTGAACAAACAAGCAACCAAAAATCCCCCATGCAAAACACTAATGATGCTTTAATTTGTCCAACATCAAAAAAGGAATAATAATAATAACAATAATAAAGATGATAATAAAAAAAATATATATCTATAAAGACATCTAATAATGACAACTTTCGATCCTCTTAAACACGATACTAAAAGTTACGATTTATTAAATATCTGAAAACCTTATAATTATATAAAACTATATTAATAAATGTATGATCAATACACTAATAATCAATTTCAATCTTATTTGGGTTTTATTCATCAGAAACTAATATAATTAAATACATTGGCATCATAATACTTAAGTCATCAATAAATAATTGGTGACAGGTGTACATTAGCAGTCCATACTGCTCCACACCTGCGCAATTGTCTAGCTCACAGTCAGGCATGAGTGACCTTTTCCCGGCAAAAAAGGAATGCTCCCTAAAAATTATGATGTGCCACTCAGTGTCTAGTAATAATTTTCAACTGCCAATGGGTTAGGGAGGAGTTCTATTATTTACAGTCATGTATTTTTTACTCTCAATGTAAAAGTTTACAATATAAGTAGCAGGCCAATACAATGTAAAAGAATAATGGGGTATAGGTCTGAATATGTACCTTTAAGAATCCACAGGTAAACTGGTAAAATTATAATAAATTTGCTTAATATTCATTCTGAATCTCATAAATGATAATTATAATTTTACAGATTAGTCTAATAGCAGATGCAAAATAGACTGCCTAGACTAAATTATTTGTAATTTCATTAAGTTCCATCACAGTAATACAAACAAAAAATTTAACATATTAAAAATAATTCCAAATCATATTCTCTTAAATTAAAATAATTCAAAAAATAATATACATATACATATATATATCTATCTATCTATCTTTATATATATATATATATATATATATATAATATATACATATTAATATTACTTATTATAGTAAACAATATTGAGATTTATACCCACAGAGGTGTCAGTGCAGGTCAAGATACAGCTAGGAAAGAACGAAAAATAAAAAAAACACGTATATCAATATGTGTGTGTGTGTATATATATATATATATATATATATATATATATATATATATATATATATATATATATATATATATATATATATATATTATATTATATATATATATATATATTTATATATATATATATTATATTACATATATATTATATATTATATATATATGTATATAATATATACACATATATATACACATATATACATATATATACATATATATATATATATATATACATAGTCATATATACATATACATGTACACAAATATACATATAAACATATACATACACACATATATATACATAAATATATATACATAAACATACATATATATACACATATATAAATACACACACACATACATACATACATACATAAATATACATATAACATACATTATATATATATAAATATTATATATATATACATACATATACATATACATACATATACATAACATATACATATACATACACATATACATATCATATATACATATCCATATTATACATATCCATATCCATATAATATTATATCCATATATATTTACATATTATACATATAATATATATACATATAAATATATATACAGATACATACATATACATATACATATATATACATATACATGTATACATACACATACATGTATATACACATATATATACATACATATATATACATATACATTCATATCATATACATATATATACATATATATATACATATACATATATACATATATATACACATATACACATATATATACATATATATACATATACATATATATACATATACATATATACATATATATATATACATATATA